AGGGAGGAGGGAGGGAGGGGGGGAGGAGGAGAGGAGAGGAAGGAGGAAGGAGAGGAGAGAGGAGAGGAGGAGAGAGGAGAGAGGAGAGAGGAGAGAGGAGAGAGTTGGGTGGGGGGAGAAAATTGAGAGGTAAGATTGGGACAGAACAAGGGAGGACAGAACAGGGGAGCTCTAGAGGAGGTGGAGTGGAATGGGATGGGGCAGGCAGGCAGGCAGGCAGGCAGGCAGGAACACAAGCAGGTCTGCCCGTCTTGCATGCGACCGGAGCTGAGGTGATCTGCGATAGTGCTGATGCTTGTTGCTGCTCGTTGCAGATCGCCTCGTCGGGGTTCATGTGCTGAGAGCTCGCCATGCTCGTCTCCGGAGGGAGGGACTGCAGCATCAGGGTGTGGGAGCTGAGGACGAGGACCCAGCTCCTGCGCCCTCTCAACGACCACGATGCCATCGTCACCTGCGTTCGCTGGTCGCCGCAAGGAGACGCTGTCGCCTCCTGCTCCTACGACGGCACGGCGAGGCTGTGGGACCCCAAGACATGGAAGGTCCTCAAGACCGGGAGCTCAGCCGCGATCTTCAGGCAGCACACGGACTGTGTGAACGAGGTAGCATGGAGCGGCGACGGGAAGCAGCTGGCAAGCGGCGGGGACGACGGCATGGTGAACGTGTGGGGGAGGGAGACAATGAAGGTGGTCAGGTCGTTCCAAGGGCATGACGGGAGGAACGATTGCAAGTGCAGCAGGCAGGAGGACGTGAACTTCAACTGGTGGTGCGACAGCTTCCGCAGGGAGCCCTCCTGCACCGTGCAGGGCCATAGGGGGACAGTGAGGACAGTTGCCTTCTCCAACAACGGGAGCATGATCGCCAGGTCTGCCCTGCCCTGAGTAGCTGAGCAGGGGGTCTGACTTGACGTGCCAGTGGGAGTTGGGATCAGAGCTTGAAGCTCTGGGACCTGGAAAGCGGCAAGCTGGTCTACACCTTCATGGGGCACCTCGCAAGCGTCAACTCGCTCGCGTTCTCTCCTCGGGAGGGCCTACTGGCCACAGCCAGCGACGACAAGATCGTCAAGATCTGGGAGTTCATGGGGGGCAAGGTGCTGCCCTCCTTCCAGCACGAGGGCCCAGTACACTGTGTGCGGTTCTCTGGGGACGGGGCAAGGATCATGACGGCCTGCGGCTCCTCCCTCTTCCAGAAGGAGAGGAACGATAATATCAAGATATGGGACATCGAAACTCGAGCTGAGATCTTCACTTTCACGGTGCTCGCTGCCTCGCTCCTCTCCCCTTTCCTCCTCCTCACGCTTCTGCCGTGGCAGGGGCACACGGACGACGTCCTGGCGGTGGAAGCCGTGGCAGGGACCAACTTGATCGCTAGGTAGGATGAAGACGATCGGGCGTAGTACTGTTGAAGACCCGCATGTCTGACCTTACCCTAGCGGCTCCAAGGATAAGAGCATACGCTTGTGGGATGTCACCTCAGGGCAGGTAGGAGGGGAGGAGGATGGTTGAGGAAAGCGCTGAAGTCCCTTGCTCCAGTGCGTCGCAGCGCTTCAAGGGCACATGGATACGGTGAAGGGAGGTGGGGAGTACAAACTGACTGACGTTGGGCTGGCAGGTCAACTCTCTGTCTGCCAAGAGCGAATAGGAGCTACCTTGACCCTGAGACCATGTTCTATTGCAATGTCTTTATTGAGGATGAGCCACTTCGTGTGTCCTCCTCGTCCTCGTCGTCCTCGTCCTCGTCGTCCTCGTCGTCCTCGTCCTCGTCCTCGTCCTCGTCCTCGTCCTCGTCCTCCTCTACTTCCACAGCAGACGATTCGATGCTCCCACACTTCAGCTCGACTTGTCCACCGCACGAGGTAAATCTTGAACAGCTTCGCTATGCACACGAGCAAGCACTGATCCCTGCTGTGCACTCTCCTCCGCGTCTGCTGGCACACGTTGCTCACCAGCAGCAGGCTCAGCAACCTGGTCAGTGCCAGCTTCAGGGGACGAACCCTGCCCCAGTCTCCTCCCCTCCCTCTCCGCATGTGCCTCCTTCAAGAGCCTCTCGTTGAACCTTCGGTTCGCCTCCTCTGCCTTCTTCACCTGCCAGCACACACGTCATGGGCCGAGGGGAGGCAGCAGGAGCTCAACGCAGGCCTCACCGCCTCCTTGATCGACGTCAGGCCGCTCATCAGCATTCCATAGCCTGCCCGCAACGTTTCCCCCGACATGAGCTTGCTCGCCGTGTCCTTGGCACTCTGCCTGGCCTCCGACACCTTTGACTGGATCGAGCCCGAGCTCTGGAGGTTCTGCACCTGGTCCTGCGCCGTCTTGGCGCGTTCACGGAGCACCTGCATCAACCCTCGTCCCTTGGGATTTGCCTGACTCATAGGATCCGCATCCGACGCTCCATCCCCCCCACGAGAAGAACCTATGTCGCCCTCCTCTTGCCCCTTGGCTGAACCGGCAGGGATGACGAGGACGGGGCGATCGTCCAGCAGAGAGTTGGACAAGAGCTGAGCAGTCGCTGCCGCGTCCTCGCTGTCGAAAGTGACCAGGGCTGCCTCAGCATCACTCGCAGGCGACGGAGCTCCCGCTGCCTTGGCAGCTGACGCAAGCTCCCCAGGACCAAGGTCCTGTGAGTTGAACTCGATGCTCTTGATGCCGCCACAGAAGGAGAAGAAGTTTCGAAGAACGGCCTCGTCCACAGCAGGCGACACGTTGAGCACCTTGAGACGAACGGAGGACCGCGTCATACCGCCCCTCCTCATCTCTCAACGCCTTCCTCACCTGTACGGTCGCCATGGCACGAGCGAGTCAGCTTCAAGTCTCAATCACCACAACTCCCGGCGTTGGCCGTCCTCTTGCACCTTCAATATCATCGCGTCAAAAGAACATCATGCAATGTCTGCACGATCCTCATCCCTCTCCTGTCCCCTCCTCCCGGCGCCACCTCTCCTTCTTGTCTTCCTCCCGCATCTCCTTCTCGCCCATGTCCCCCTCTCCTGCCCCGCCATCGCGGCCTCTTCCCGACCCCTTACCTCCCTGATGACGCGGCCCATTTCGGTCGCAATCGAAACTCCTTAAGCTGAATCCTTTTTGCTAATTCACCCACTCTGGCAGTGACTGGTGGCACCGGCGGCACCGGCCCGCCGGCACCGGGCCGGGCCGCCGGCGGGGGCCCGGGGAAAACTTTGAGTAAAGAGGATGAAAAGTGGGGGATCGGGCTCGGACGTCCGTGGCCAGGGGGTCAGCAGCCTCGGTGGCCCCCGTGACAGTCAAGTCAACTCTGAACTCAGTACCCAAATCTTTACTCATCATTCAATGGCGGTACCACTAAAAGTAGAAATCGATATGAATTTTATAGTCACAAGTATTGGCTGAAAATTTGTGTCAAGGTGTCGCTGCGGTAGTATTTTTTTCTCCTACCCCCCATTGTCCTGAAACCGTTCAGGCGGTAGTCCAAAAGTTACCTGGCTATAGAGTGACCCCTACTTTTGACTATAATTTAACCCCTACTTTCAGAAATATCTACCACCCCCACCCACCCAGTTCTTAAATCTTTCCGTGCCCTTGGGCTGTGCTGACACAATGGGTGAGCCCTTGAGAGCGTGTCATCATCGCACGGTTATGCCCTTATAGATAATTCTTATAATTTATGTCATAAATCTGCGCAACGGGGGAGGTTATATCCGTGTTTTGTCATAATTATATATAAGGGGTATGTGATTCCTGGTTTATACCGTGGCCAAGCCATGATAAGATCACCCCCACCCCCATGGTAATCACACAGTCCGATCTGACTAGCAACCACCCCTGCTACTCCCTGCTGGATATTTTAAGCCCACAACCCGTTCTCGAATCACAAACATTCTCACATACATAGGGGTAGGTAGGACCCACCTATATGGAGCAAAGGACCAACCTTTGGTAGCCCACCCCACCCCCTGCACTACTCATACCGCCTATCTGCTCCTCTTTTAGTCCTCTGCTGCTGTCCCCCTGCTTCAAACGCCCCCTTCCTGCACTGCCAACATCCTCTCAAGCCTTACCCCTCCTACTTCACAGCTCCTCCCACTCTCCTGCACTGCTACACCAGCCCCACCAGCCTCATCTCCACCAGCCACTGCATCCACCATGCAACCATCTCTTCTAGGTGAGATTTCGTCGACCAACCCCTCTTGCAACGAGCAGTCGGGAAAGCGAAGAGACAGGAAGTTCGAGTATGACGCTGAGGACTTCCGTTTCCATGCCGTCAGATCGCTAGCGATCAAGAAGTGTGAGAAGAACAAGAAGAAGAAGTCGGCGGCTAGCACAAATGCGGAAGACGGCAGCTCGAATGCTGCCACTCCAGCCAAGGGAGGCAGAAAGCCGATGCTGAAGAAGGAGAGCTCGTTCTCGGAGGATCTCAAGTGCATCACGATCGCGGACATCCTCGAGGACGTGGTCAATCACGAGGGGAACCTCGCTCGCTCCTACGTAGAGCGCACCTGCACCAACCTCGGGATCATGGAGTTATTTCCCAAGCTCGACGAGCAGCTTCACGAGGTAGAGCAGCAGCACCCTGAGCTTGCCAGCAGCGACTGTGGCGACGACGAGGTTGAGGAAGAGCTCTCGGTGTCTGGTATGATCCATGACAACGAAGAGCCGCCATCGTGCAAGTCGCCGCCTGAGAAGGAAGGGCTGCCTGCTTGCAGTGAGACGTGCTGATATGGAGCTCGCAACTTTTCTTGGTTTGTAGATTAGTTTGGATCACTTGGTTTCATTTGTTTTCTTGTTGATTATTCATTACAAAACGTTGTCTTCCCCGACGAGTTCTTGCAGACGTTTGTCTTGAGCGTTTCAAGGGTCAGGAGAGGTTAACTGTTGTCGTAGCTTGCTACTTTCCTCCTCGGTATGCTCGCAGCAAGAGCGGAGCTCCATGTTTCCCCTGCCACTCCTATCAAAACCTACTCTGTGTCTCCTCATCCGACTGCGGACCTGAGCTTACAAGAGCGAGCAAGCGCACTGTCTGATCCACCGTTATAGCCTCACAGGATGACAACTTGAGGTGCTCCGATATCGGCAGCCTTGGCATCATACCACATTCAACCTCCCTCATGTCTTCTATCATGCATGCCACCTGGCGTGTCGAACGTTGGACTGAGCTGCCCTCGAGAGGCTGGCGCCCTTCTGCTTGTTCCTATCCACCAGCCCTCCGATAACGTACACCTGACTCATCGTTACAAGAGCAAGGCCGGGCCCTCTCACTGCGCTACCTTGGAGGGATCCAATTCGTGGATGCAGTTGTCGCTGTCGGCAGTGAGGTAGATGATGTCTTCCCTGAGACAGCTCAGAGTCTCGTCGGAGCTGACAGGCAACTTGACCAAGACGGTCAAGTGTAACAAACCTCGGAAAGGCGTTCAAGACGTCGGAGGATATGAAAGTGACGCCGCCCCTGCCAGGCGTGTAAGGCGTGTAAGATATTTCGGCAGAGAGCAGGCAAGCAAGAGGGTCGAGCAAACCTGCCTTGATCCCAGTTGTGAGCGGTGAGTTCGGTCAGGGCCCTCCCCTGTCATGCGCGTCATCAGTCTTAGACGCTGCTCGCATGTCATCGGTGTCGCATCACAGTTATCGAGTGATTGAAATCCAAGCCGCAGATTGAAATGTCCTGTGCAACTTGCTGTCAGGCCTTAAGATGTTGTCTCTCAACAAGTGTTAGTGATGTTCAACCAGTGGGATTATCGCCTTCTTGTTCATGCTGTAGCCATATCCCAGCTGCATGCTCCATCATCCCCTCAGCAGCAGATGTTGAGCAAACAGCAACCTGGATCGCCAAACTTTTGCACTTGCAAAAGAAATCACCAAGTTTATCGGAGAGACAGAAGTATGGTAGTTTGGGGTAGGAGCGCGAACATGGGAGAATGATGAAGACGAGAAGTGGGACGAAAGTGATTAGAGTCTTGCAGAGAGGACCAGGAGGAGGACCAGGAGGAGGAGGACCAAGACGAGGACCAGGAGGACGAGGACGAAGACGAGGACGAGGAGGAGCTGAATTTTACCTGTTGCTCGTTCATTAGATGCTCATATGCCAAGTCGATGACAACTCGTTGAAGAGGGTGGCCCCTGCCCTCATCTCATCACAAAGTACAAAGTCACCAATCATTCATATGAGGTCATGACATAATATGAATGAAAACGTTCATGGCATGGGATCCTTCATACACTGTAATACTGTCTTTCACATGGTGCCATCGCGTACCTTGCAGCGATCGCGAGATCCCGATCGGCTAAGAACTTTTCTCGAGCTTCTCTATAGAGTTGCCTGCTCTCCTGGACATCCTTGAGCATCTTGCTTCCTTGAACAACGCCAGGTCGAACACGACATCCTCATACACAAGACAGCACGACAAGACAAGATCGCCTCATCCCACGAGGCAACCGTGAACACTCATGCGGATTCCTTCGACTCGTGCAAATGTGTTTGCTCAGAGAACAATCATACAACAACCATCATCACCATACAACAACAATCATACAATAACAATCATCATAAAGTTGCAGATCAGAACATGTCGCCCAACCTCCTTCCGCCTGAGGAACTCTTCCTTGTCAGCATCACTCAGCGCCTCGAACTCTCGCTGCCTCCTTTCTTTCTCCTTCGCCCTCTTGTCCTTCTCCCTAGCTCGTCGCGCAAGGAGAGATTCCTTTCTGCGCTGAAGGCAACCGTCACCCTCATTCCGTTTTCCATCGCATCCCCATGCACCCTCCCCGATCCTGTTCACCCTCCTTCCTCCTCCTCTGCCTCCTACTTTCTTCCCTCCTCCCTTGTTGCACCCCTTCACTCTTCTCTCTCCCTGATCTCTGCCCCTTCCCCCACCACTACCTCCCCATCTCCAAACTTCCTCCTCCTCCAACCTCGAGCCGCATGGCGCGTTTGATCGCTGACTTGGTCAGGTTGAGAAGAGGGGAGCTGCTGCTGCTGCCACCGCATGTCAAGGCAACCTCCTCCTTCACTGGCCTGAACCTCTCATCTCCGAGCTCGGAACCTGACGATCCCTTGACAGCGCACGTTGCGGTCGTGGAAGCTCCAGCATGACTATGGAGCAGGGCGAAGGCAAGCAGGACGACGGCAAGCTAGAGGGAAGAGATGACGGGGATGGAAACGGAGAGACAGAGATAGTGACAAATAGGCTGAGAGCAAGGAGATACACTAGGACCGTCGTGAATCCCCCCTCCTCCCTCTCCTGCCCCTCCCCCTTCCTCTCTCCCTCTCCTGCTTCTGCTCCTGCTCCTTCCCCTTCCCAACCCCACCCCCCGCCTCATCCCTCTTCCTCCATGCAGGGGTACCATACACCGCTCGTTCCTGTCCCTCCCAGCATCAGCATGTGCGAACTTACCTGCCCCGTCGGAGTCATCGCAACTTCCTCTAACCCGCTCGCATCTTCCTTCATCTCGATCAGAAGGTTTGCCCAACTCGCCCCCTCCTCCACATACATCAAACTCTGGCTCTTCCTCTCTCTCCCCTTCTCCCTCGCCCTCTCTCTATCTCCTCCTGCATCCTGCTTCCTGCCTGTTCTTCCTGCCTGTTCCACCCCCC